TTTTTTAAAAAAAAAAAAAAAAAAAAAAAAGAGTTTTTGGTTAACGGAGAAAAAAGAGCTTCTCGAAGACTATTTTGTAAACTTGTCAAAACAATATTCAAAACTTTAAAAAAAATTGGCAGTTTTATTTTATTGGAATATGTAATTCTTTAATTAAACCTATATTTTATTCCATATTTTGCATTGATATAAGCAAAAGAAGCTGAAAAAGAATATAACTCATGTAATCAAACGCTTAAATCTTGAAGACATTATTTTCCTTATTCATATTCAAATAGCTATAAACTTCTCTGCCGAGGAATAAGTGTTATTTCAGCTTAATTAATTTGGGAAAAAATAAATGTTCGCTTTTCGTTTGAAAAAGCAAGAATGAATTTTTTTAAATTTATTCTTAATCCAAAAAATTATCTACAAAATGCAAGCATATATAAAAAGTAATTTGAGAAGATATAACAGGAAATAAGTCGTTGTATAACTCTTACATTATTAATACTAAATGATTTTCTTAATGGGTGCGAACTCCTACATGACACTTATTTTAAATGATAGGTAGCGTTATCTAAAAACCTATGCACCACTATTTTAACTAACTTGATGTTACAAGTAAAAATCTTGACGTTATAAGAAAAAAATTATATTTTTAACAGGTATAAGCTAAACTGGACATTTATTCATGCTAATTAATGCAACACTATTGTGAAGCAAGCTCCATTCAATTCTAATTTTTCAGATAAGTTAGGCCTAGCAAAATTACGATTAACTGGTTCTTTGGACATGAACTCGAACACAAGTTCTATATATATATATATATATATATATAATGTTGTTGGGCTCGAAAGGATCAAATTTGATGATCATAGTTAAATTTTTAGTGTTTAAGCCCGGGCACACCATCTCAAATCTCAAGTTACTACTATTAATAAGAGGGAATGAGATAGTTTCCGGTCAATGTGAATTGATATCAAAACCAATTCACTTCAGACCCTAAAAGGCACTTTTACTAAGGGGCAATTTTGTCATTTCATATGCACATGTGTCCTCTCATTTCCTAAAAGGCCACCGCCTGCTATGTTTGATTTCTATGACGTTTTTGGTGACTGTCTTTTTGTTTCTCTCTGTTTCCTTCTTCCGTTTTCTTAGTTTTCAGTTAACTGAAGCTTGGAGTTTCATGACTATGCTACAAACAGACTTTGACCTGAGTGATGCAAACAATCTCGAAATTCCAAAGTTCATCAATTTAAGTAAGTAAAACATCGTAATATTTATAATTCTCGCTAATCAGCTATGGAGTTACTTAAATTCTACATTGATCCAGATTTTGATAAATTCACTCTTCCCAACTTTCCAACTTAAAATTTATTCCATGCTCGAACTTCAAATTTGAACAATTTCACATTTAATAAGCATTCCTAAATATCTTATTTAATATTTTATTTATAATAATAGATTAATTATTTAATAATATTGTATTAGCTTCTCTATTTCAACATATTAATCAACTTCTGATGTATTGGAGAAGGGGGGAAAAGGCAATCTTTTGGTAAAGAAATGGGGTTGTGGGAGGAGAGAAAAGTATTAGGGGAAAGACATAACAATGAAAAGGGAAAAAACCTTGGAGTTTTATTTTAAAACTAAATGATATTGATATAGACATTAAGAAATTAAATCTTTTGAGATGGTTTAAGATAATGATGGTGGTGGATGGACGGAGTATCCTACATTCTTTGTTAAACAACAACATGACATGTGATTTTTTCTTCCTTTACGGATTGGATTTTGAAGAAATACACAAACATTTTTCCTTCTTTTGGCTAACATATGGATTAACTTACAAGTTTTAAGAGTTAACTTGGTCAGAATCGTCCTGCAGTGGTTTGTATTTGTATTTCTAAGTAATTGTTTGATGCCTACTTTTAAGTGGTAACTATTGAAGAAGCACGAAAGTTGTGTATGATTTTGTTACTCAATAGACTGCATACTACTCTGTTTACTAAATTGAAGCTAGACCTACTGTTATGCAAATCGGAAAACACACCGGACTTTTTATGCAAAATATTGAACCTAATTCAAGTCATTTTAAAACTTTCCTTAGATAAACAGTCGTACATATAGGTCCAATATATTTGGTTTCAAGTATTAATAATTAGTAGAACGGCTGCATCAGTGATAATTAGTAATTACAGTATGAAATGGCAAGGACTATGATGAGTATTAAAATCATTTTTTCAAATAAGGCCTTTCACAATAAAGAGTTCTTTGACTTCAATTAATTTATTTTTAATATTACGTGATTATTCAGTATTAATCAAACTGCCCATATTATAATATTGTGAGTGATTAGTTATTGAGAGACACCTAGATTAACTCCGTCTAGAATTGAAGCTCTAGCCGATTATATGTCAAGATCGGCTGAAATACATGTTCTTATCTGAGGTAAAGTGCTTGCAGTTTTTTCTGTTTCTCATAATGAGGTAGTTTTGTTCACGTTAGCCCGGGCTACCCTTACTAGTGTAATTTATAAATTTGAAAAGTAATTACTCGTATTTATTTTTCGGGCCAGCACTGTAGAACGCGGACAAGGCCCATTATAAAAGTAGCTTGAACCAGAACCCGACCCGATCTCGATCTCCTGCTAACTTCAATTCCCCAAATTAGGGGTATCAATTTCCCCAAAACTCATCTGCCAAAATTGTTGTTCCTTTCAGAGATCTAAACCAATCAAGTTATGGGAGGTCATGGAGGTTTGAACATTCTCCCACAGAAACGATGGAACGTATACAACTACGAAAATCGCGAGAAAGTAAAGCGAGACGAGGAAGCCGCAGCTAAAGAGGAACAGCTCAAGCAGGAACAATCTCGCAAGCGCGACTCAGAATATCGCCTCGAGCAGCTCCGTCAAGCGCGTGGCTTATCATCATCGTCGTCGAATCACGTCAAAAAATCGTCGTCAGAACAGAAATCGCCGGAGAAGAAACCGGAAAAATCGAAATTGGCAGAGGAGAAACGTGGAAAATCGGATTCTAAGCACATCAATTTATTCGAAGGGATTCGAATCTTCGATCCAGTTAAAAAAGTAGAAGAAGATGAGGAGAAAAACGGAAGGAATAATAATAAGAGGATTAAGAAAGAGCAAGCGCCTAGGGTTATTACTGCGGAGGATGAGAAGTATAGGTTAGGATATGGAATTGTTGGTAAAGGAACGAAATTACCTTGGTATATGGAGAATAAAAACAGAGACGAGGATGAAAAGAGCGACGAAGATAATAATAATGATTATTATAAATATTCGAGACCTGTGAAGAAGAGTAGTAATGGAGGAAAAAAGACGGTGGAGGAATTGCGACAAGAGCGGTTAGAGAGGGAGAGGAAGGAGAAGGAAAGAGAAAAAGCTTTGTTAATGGAGAAGAGTCGAAGAGATGGAGGATTTTCGCCGTTAGAGAGGGAGAGGAAGGAGAAGGAAAGAGAAAGAGCTTTGTTAATGCGAAGAGATGGAGGATTTTCACGACGAAGATGAGGTCCGCCTTTAAGGTTGTTAGCTCTAAACTCATTATACATTTTAATGTAAGGGTTCAATATTTAATATTTATTAAAATTTTAGTGGTTTTCACATGTATATTTATGTTCTATATCAAAAGTACTGGTTCAGTTCAAATTTTAGTGGCACATCAAAGTTGCTAATGAGTTGTTCGTTCTACTTTGTAACGATCATTGCTTGTTTGTTTTACAATTCATTGATGTTTTTCAATGTACTGAGCTACAAATTTCTGGTGAGACTTTGTTGTTTGTTCTCGAGTTTTTGGTTGTAGTTCAGGTTACATTTTAGTTATACTCCCTCTGTTTCAATTTATGCCCTTTTCAATTTATGTGAACCCATTTGACTAGACACGAAGTTTAAGAAAAGACAGAAGACTTTTGAATTTGTGGTGTAAAATGAAGCACATATATTTTGTGTGGCTATAAATCATTGCATAAAGGTAAATTGTTTCCAAATAGGGAAAGGGGTCATTCTTTTTGGCATGGACTAAAAAGGAAATAGGTTCACATAAATTGAAATGGAGGGAGTATATTTTAACATTTTCTTGAGTTTCATGCGTTTCAATTTTCCTCAAGCTTGTACACGAATTCTTCAGTTAGTAGAAGTTTTGGCACTTGGGTGGTGGTTTAGGTTCAGAAATAGGTTAGAACTGAGAAGTGATAAAGATAAAGTACTCTCTACTCTAGAAGAATTGCTGACAAGACTACTGAGCAAACTCTGAAGTATTTTCCATCATGTGTCTTCTGGTTTTGGAAAGCTTTATAGAGGTAAAGAATTAACCCGTGCTTCAGATTTCTTGTAGGATGTTACAGTTTTTGATTTGGATTTCATGGACTTCTATTGGAGCTCTAAGTCTACCTAGGCTTTGTAAGGTTTATTGTGTGGTGACCCAGTGTAAGACTGTAAATATCAAAGGCTTTACCAAAAATTGACGGTTGATCTTGGTATTAATTTAAATGGAATTTTTTTTTATGATTGGTTAGTTCCTTGACTGTTAGACACAGATTTGCAGTGAGAAAACCTGTTAGTCCTGTATCAGTTAGTCTGGGAGAGTAATTTCCTGCATCAATTAGTCTGGGAGAGTAATTTCCCTTTTTGAGACCTCTTTTAATCTCATCAGGATTTTTTCTTCTTGAAATATTTGTATAAAATTCAACTAGAATGCTGTCTAACTTTTTGATATAGCTTAAGTTACAGGATGAGTCAAGAATGGAACATGCCTTTTGTTCTTTTAGATATTGATTTTTGTATTTCCTAAGCACTCTTGAAGTGTATCAAAACAGAGTTGTGTGCTCGATCAGCAGANGGGGGAGGATTTTCTTAGGAGTACAATTTGTGTTTGAGAATGATGAAAATTTACATACATCTGCATCTCATTTTGTACAAAAAGGGGGAGATGGAAGGAATTAATCCATTTCTAAATGGGGAGCATTTGAGCAACTGCAAAGCCTGGTGGTTGGTGAAATCTCTGGCTGAATATAGATTGTTTTCATTTGTTAAAAGCCGGAAACTTTCTTTATCTTTTTGTATTTATTTTCCTCTCGTTTTTTAACTATATATTTTGCAATACTTTGGGAGCTGGGGAATCATCATGCATGACTGCTCTTCGTTTCTGTATGTCTTCATGCAGGGTGATGAACACGAATGAAGTGGATCTGTTGTACTTTCTGAGAGCTCTTTGAGAAAAAAGCATGGCTGGGTGCAGTTTTATTCTTGAATATGTCTATTTTCTTGCGTCATCTCTATTTTAGTTTGGCAAGGGCTTGATGTTTAATGCGAGAGTCCCATTTCCTGTTCGGATAGCAAATCATATGGTGAGGAAACTGCATGTAGTTTGGTTCGAGAGGCCTGATTGACATGAGATGGATTAACGCGAGAGTCCCATTTCCTGTTTGGATAGCAAATCATATGGTGAGGACACTGCATGCAGTTTGGTTCGAGAGGCCTGATTGACATGAGATGGATTATGAGATTCTTGCTTCGCATGGGAAATTGTTTCTGAAAGTCAAAAACCAGTCCTAACCCCCCC